AAATTAACATCCTTCCACAGCCTCTTGCTAGGCCCTCCAGCCGTCCAGCTCTAAGTTAAAGACAAGCAATATATATGCAAGATGAATAATTATTTAATATGAAGCTTTAAATCTCCTCGAATATTTTTCTTGCGTCTCATGGTAACTGAGAACTGTGCTGCAACTGACATGCGAGTATGTCGAGTACGGAGCTGCTCAATTGTGAGTGTTTCTAACTCATGCCTTATCCTTGACTGTTCTCAATTAAATTGTGGCCACAACTTCTTGTTTAGTTACGTAACGTCTTCCCAGATTTCGATATTTTCAATAAAGCGAAGTTTTCTGTGAAGATGAGTGAGATAATCACATAAAAGACGAGCGATGTTAAATCTTCAAGACCATAGTCCTTTTTTTATGTTAACCATATTTCTTTCCACCATCGATGACCAGAAAATTTTTCTGTTATTTTAAATAAAATTACTATTATTGAAATTGTGCAAGAGAATATAATATTTATTCAAGAATTTTTTTTTCAACACAGTTAATACCAAATTTTTTGCTTCCAATGCATGAAAACTCAGGTGACTGTCCAGGCATCGAAATTTCTCAGTTCACAAAGAACAAGCGGAGTCGCGCGCATAAGTTTGGACGAGTTGCGCTTCCACGCCTGCCCAACACGGAAATATTTAGCCGTCGTACGCATGCAGCGCGGGCATGCCTCGCAGGGCATGCATATCCAGCATTCCGGTCGACGCTGCATTATAGAGCCGAGAGAAAACTGAGCGGGAACTGGCATTTCAAAAAATGAATGAAGTCTTGTTGTCCAAATAATAACAAACTTTATGCACGTAATATTTATACGCAATTTTTCTAGGGTTAAACTTGTCACGATAAACCGAGCAAGGGAAAAAAGTGCTTCGATATTTAGACAAAGTTTCAATCATATTCTTGAGTGTGAGCGAGAGCCGAGCCTTTGCTCAGTGCTACCGTATAATTTGCGTGCGTCATGCCTTGAAACCTAGAATCTTAGAACAAAAAAAAAACTTTCATATAGTTACAGTATGTGACCACTTTATGGGCTTTAAATAAATCTTTCATATTATTTTCTAAAAAATATTCTATTAAACTAAAACACATTTTATGAAGAATGTATCAGAAATTATCNTAAGCACACACTTATATTAAACTCATCTTGGTTAATTGGATTCAATTATATAAATGCATATAGTGCTCGGATATTATATTGATAATGATAAGTAATTCTGCATGATTCTGAAAAATTTCTCTTATTCTAGTTATTCACCGTGATCTTAAATGTACCGTTTTTAACTTAAACCCTTTAGAATCTTCTGCAATCTGGTGTCAGGTTTTATTGTAGAACTCTAGCCAGCAAGCGTGCTGTGAAAGCACATCAAAAGATAGAAAAAATATAACTCAGTACTCACTGCAGTGAGTGACAGAGAGCGCATTTTCTCGTCGACGAAAACTTGAGGTCACGGACGGACGGACAGACACGACAGACAGACAAAAGGACATGGTCTGTCTCTTATACACATCTAGATGTGTATAAGAGACAGTTTATACATAGTAGAGAGTGTTCAAAGACGCGCAACAAGGATAGTTCCGGGCTTGAAAGGCAAGTCCTATGAGGAAAGATTGAAGATTATGAATTTTTTTTGACACTTACTCACTGAAAACCATGCATTATTTGGCTGATTCTCTTTCCATGAAACCGCTAAACTTGATGATAGCTTTAAACCGCATTTCAATTTCATTGGCGTGTTCACTTGGCTGGAATTCCCATGTTTCCAGTGAATCCTCTCGTCAAAATACCATATTTTTTATTGGGGGCTCACACTCTGTTTCTGTGCTGAAGGACTCTATATCACTGTCTATCATGCAGATTCTGTTTCGTATTAAAATGCACTGAGTTTTCACACTTGTATTTTTCTGATCTTGCATGTACAAGAGCGTTGTGTACTTCCATGTACATATCAACCCAGAACTACACAAAACCTAAAGTCAGGAAGGCTCTAAAATAAAAATAGAAAGATTCAAATTGTTGCAATGCATGCAATTGAATTGCAATTGCTGCAATGCGTGCAATTGAATTGCAATTGTTGCAATGCATGATTTAAATTGTTGCCATTCCCTGACGATTTCAGCCGGGCTCGTTCCCCTGGCTAGCAGCAGTGGGTGCACCGGCACGAGACGGCGTCCGCTTCATCGTTGCGTGTGGGGGCTCGCTGATCACCGCGCAATACGTCATCTCAGCAGCACACTGCTTCACTGAACTGCCTTTGTGAGTTACTTGCATACACAGATTATTGATTAATATTGATCGCAGTTCAACAGCGTCTCCTCAGCTTTTTGAGAGATCAACAGCCTCAAAAAGTGCGATTATCAACAGTCGCTTAATATTTAATTTCATTTACGGGCGGCAAATTACACAAAAATTAAGCTAATAAATGAATTCAATGAATTATCTGCATCATTAATAACGAAATTTCACTCTTAAACACTTAATGATGTTTCATTTGATTGATATTCGTCTCATGCAGAACACACGTGCGGCTTGGAGAACACGACATAACTTCCAACAGGGATGGCGTGCAGCCTCAGGACTTCCGTATCCTGCGGCACATCAATCCTGGCTACAACACAGCCACCAAACTCAACGACATTGAGCTCCTACAGCTCGACAGGACGGTCAATTTCAATGGCAAGTTTCAAGAAAGACTTGGAATTAGGATTTTTGAAGGAATTAAGATTTTAAGCGGAATAAAGATTTGTAGGATTTTAGGAGGTATTAGGAATTTTAGGATTCTTAATCCAGGAAGGATTAGGAATTGGGATTTCAGGAGGAATTAAGAATTTAAGAGGAATTAGGATTTTTAGGATTTTAGAAGGTATTAGGATTTTTAGGATTCCTAATCCAAGAAGATTTGGAATTATGATTTCCCTCAAGATTAAGCTTCAGCAAATCATCCAATTTCATATGTTGCAGAAGATCGGTAAGCTTGCTTCATTCACGTGACAGTGAGACAACTAAAACATTAGAACATTTTATTGTCACAGCCACAGGACAGTGTCATCCAATTTGTACAAAGAATTCATAACCTTGCATTTTTACACTCATGAATTTATGATTGTTGGAGTGGATTTCGTGTTTGACCAATCGTTAAATTCTATTGTTGTTTAGTAACTTTCTGGCTAAGTTGTAGGTAGCAAGACCAGCTCGACATTATGTAAGCACATCACATTTCAAGAGAATATATTTTTTTCCAGATTTCATCAGGCCAGTGTGCCTGCCAACCTTAGAGATCACAAGAAGTGGTTTCCGAGGCGCTCAGTTTGAGGTCGTAGGATGGGGGTCAACCCGTGAAGGTAATTCTCATCAAGAATACTTCTCATCTTATTTTTTTTAAAGAAAATTCTACAGTAACGTTGTGGTTTTGAAGTTCATGTACAAACTAGGCATCAAAATATTTTTACTCAGTGAAAAGCAACGAGCTTTATTAGTTTTTATCGAAACAATCGCGATAGATTTTGTATCGCAAGTTTATTTATTTTCTCGCAGCTGGTGCGGGTAGCACCACTCCTTTGGTAGCCAATATACCTCATGTTGAGGGGGCGGTGTGTCAGGAGCAGTACAGGCAACGCCTCGCTCTACGTCCTGAACAGCAGATTTGTGCCGGGACAACAGGGATTGACTCCTGTCAGGTACGATAACTCTGTGAGAATTATTCTGGTTAGGTACGTTGTTAAGCTTGGCTAGAGATCGCTTGCAGCAATTTAATTACTCAGATTCACCGCATGAATATGAAAACAACAAATTCTGGTCGAATAAACGGTCACCACTGTTAATTCGCGTATGGTTTCCAATAGTGAGTTTCCATATTGATTTTTTGCTCATCGTGCAGGGTGACAGCGGAGGACCTCTCCAGTACCTGAGCGAGTCAACAGGTCGTTACTACCTTGTGGGGGTGGTGTCCTTCGGTGTAGGATGTGCCCGAACAGGCTTCCCTGGAGTTTACTCGAGGGTAGAATATTTCTTACCGTGGATTCGCCAGAACGTCCAGACGTTCTGAAATGTCTTGCCGCTCTTTAATGTTCAAGCGCTCTAAAACCTCGAACCGCTCTCGGAATGTCCATACGCTCTCAAAAGTTCTGATGCTGTAAAATGTCTTGCCATTCATGAATGTGCGTGCACAAAGCTTAAGAAATTACCAAGTCTTTGAATGTGCAAACATTTTGAAATGCATGGATACTTTGAAACGCTTGAAAAATTCTGTTCTTAATATGCTGCAATGCAATGGTCACAGTTCTCTAAAACAACGATTAGCATTAATCTGAAGCATAATTTAAAATGTTTTTTCAGCAATCAGTTTTCCAAAATTATTATTGAATGATAATAATTATAATAATATTGTTATTAATTATTCTGAAGAGCATGAGGTTAATGGATCGGTAGATACCTATGGATCAGACGCCGCCGTTCCGGCTTACGTTATCAAGAAAGGCAGATACGCATGATGCAAAGTATGACAGTCACGACTGTGCACCATGCATGACTATTAATTTTGTCAATTTTATTGAACTCATTCATCTGGCCACGGACTACGTAATTGATTTTATTAATTAGAAATGAGTTAAATTAGAGTGAACACCTGCACTTGAGCCTGCGAAGAGAGTGTAATATTGTTTCTAATAATTTTGCTATGTATCGACACTAGACCGTGTAATCCTGAGTAAACATTTACTCAAATCAGGAAAAATCAAATTTTTGACGTTTGGTTCAACGTTCAACGTTATGTTCAACATCATTAGCGGAAAAGAAAATGATATTTATAATGATATGAAACAAAAAATACACATATAAATTTGGGATTTTTATTTAATACTTTCCTTCAAACACGGCGTAGGAAACAGCATATATAGAAATTAATGTAATGTGCCGCATTAAAATAATTTATCTTGCAGATTTTACACACGATTTCATTAATTTATATATACAGGACCTCATCAAAAATTTTCCTTCCTAATTTTCTTTTCTTTATCTGGCTTCTTATCTTTCTCTGACGCTTTATCTTTTTCCGCCTTATTATCTTTTTCTGATTTCTCATCATTCTCAGGTTGCTTATCATTTTCAGGTTGCTTATCATTTTCAGGTTGCTTATCTTTTTCAGGTTGCTTATCTTTATCAGGTTGCTTATCTTTCTCCGTTTTCTTATCCTTTTCTTGTTTCTTATCCTTTTTTGACTTTTTATCTTTGGGTCCGGGCGGTTTTTGCCCCGTGATAACATAATTTGCCTCATCCGGGTCCTTGAGTCTGTGCCACTGCGCTATGGGTCTACGTGGGTTAGCCACCATGTCGGCCCAGTGCCGCAGCTCCAAGCCCGTGGCGTTCATGCCGAGCACCACGCGCCCGATGGGATCAGAGTGGCCGATTCGGTCGTAGTCAACCACAGTGATTTGCAGATGTGTGGCCTGCGTGGCGCCAGATCAAAGTTTAGCACAATGGATGGAAGCAAAATGTTATTTCGCTTAGAATAATCGAATAGAGAATACACCAAAATTGAAGACCGATCTTGATTCGTCCTTTAAATCGTAACCGTGGGTTATCAATTTATTTAGGTATGTATTATTTGTCAATTATTTATAAAGTTGTGCTTTCGAATCACTAAAAATTAAACTTAAAGAATGCGTACCTGAATTTGCTCGAAAGGCATTTCGAATGAGAATGACTCGTTGTAGTATGGGTTGAGAGTATATTTCTTGACGCTTGATTTCTTCTTTTTTGTCCGTTTACCTTTGTAGAAGAGGCAGACCTTCACGTACGGGTCTTGGAGCGAAACATTGGCATGAGAAGATTAATATAAAAAGGCAGCGGGGGCTTTCAAGATTCATGCACAACGCGAGCAAATGCAATTTTAAAATTATTTTGAAACAGGAAACTGCATGAAGACCATATCTCTAGGAGAGGCTGCATTAAATAATATATGAATTCTGCTGCGTGACAACTTTCAAAGTCCCTCTTTTCGTTTCAAGAATATTATTGAAGCGTGTTTAGGAAAACTTCTGCCAAAGAAGCTCATTGACATTTTTTTAAATAAATGTTTTAAATTTATCACCTGAGGCTCCACCCACGTCCATCTTTTTCAAATTTTTGGCTTCAAGGACGACGACGGAAAGTTTCCCTGTCGTAGGCACGTAGCGGATGGAGAAACAGATGTCGCCAAGCTGAAAAAATTATAAAAATGATTATTAAGATTTAAATGGCGTCGTTGAAATAACAGTTCATCAGTGCCGGAAAAAGTATTGGAAGAAAATCGGGCTTACTGAACTTTAACCGTATCAATTAATTATTTGGATTTGAAAAACTTTCGATCTTCATCGGTTCTCGCGACAAGATGAGAACGAACAGAATTGAGCCAAATTAAATCTATGCTCTATGCTCGAAAAAAAAGTAGATTTGACGTATCATTGAGTGCCTTATTGGCTCCTCAGTGCCATTGACTTCTCATTGACAAGCGAATATAAACCACAATTTATTCTTTATTCTTTATTCACACAGGAGCATACAAAAAATTATTGTGATAACGTCGATTAAACGCTGAGTCAACGAAATCAACTCGTAATCAACGTTGTTTCAAAGTTATTTGCCCGGAGAGTTGAAGCGCTCCAAGACTCAGAGCCCTGGTCAATCGCTGCTCTCGATCCTTACACTGCTCGATGGTCCTGTCATGGCAATAACGCCCATTAAACGTTTTTTCATCGGATTAACTCATAAAAAAGTTTTCTTAACGTTATTTGCCTGGAAGGTTAAGGCACTCCTATAACTCACAGCCTTGGGGTCAATCTCTGTTCTCTCCAGATCCCTCCACTCCTCGATGGTCTGGCCGAGGTCCATCATGCAGATAGGCAGTCTCACTTCCCCTACCAGGTCGTGCTTCGAGAGTCTGTCGTGGTCGTACACGCACAACAGAATTGTCTTGGGTATCAATTCTGCGTACGTGGCCTGAATCAAATATTCCAATATCCATCAGTATCAATCTTCACAAGATATCAATAGACAAATTGGCTACATGAGACGTTAAGTTGTGATAATATATACAGTAAAATACTCGTAAAGTAGCAACAGAATTGTCTTGGGTATCAATTCTGCGTACGAGGCCTGAATTAAATATTCCAATGTTCATCAGTCTTCACAAGACATCAATAATTTGGTTACATGAAACGTTAAGTTGTGATATAATATACAGTAAAATACTCGTAAAGTAGCAAATTCTTTTCGCAAAATATTTTTTTACAAGAATACAGATTGCAAACTGGGTGTATAATTTCAATTTCATGCATCATAATTTATATATTTGTGAGCAAAAAATAGTTATTTTTAATCTATACGAAGATCCTGAATTATAATAAAATTATGATATATTTGAGCTAACCCTAAACATTGGAAGCATTTTCAATGCATAAATAAAAATGATTCGTAAAATAACACATGGTAAATTGAAAGGTAAAGCAGCTCGGTGAAAATGTCAACAATGTAGTTGATATATACATTTTTCAATATTTTAAAAGCATTTCATGGTTTTTAAGCAGGCTGCTAATTTACTCAAACCAAGACATTATTTACAGATATCCTAAGTGGTGAATGTAGCTCAAATTTTTCTCAAGTTCACATATAGTATTTAGTTGAGTACGTGTTGCAATCGTCAAACTTTATCACTTTATTTCATTTAGGGTAACGCTTATTTATTTTGAACTTTTAGCTTCAAGATCATTATAGAAGACTAAAACCCTAATTTTTATATAATAATTAATATTGGCTGAATAGAAGAAATAGGCATAGATCTCTATTGACCATACCTTATACGTAAATGTCTCGTTAAAAACTGGATTAAGAGTTTTTTTCTTCACTTTTGTCTCGAACTTTTTCTTTTTGTCAGGCAGCATGTAGATCTGAGGGATATGATGAAAATAGTTGAATAATTAACACGTTTCTTATACAATAAAATGAACAGTATTCACGAGTGTGAATACTCACGTAAGTATAAAAGTCTAATATTCAGCAAATTAAAATGAAAACGTGAACATGCAATAGTGCCTTTCGTACAGAACAACATAGTTTTGATATTGTCCCTGACTTGAGGATCATTAAGTACAGCAGTATTCTCTGCACATTATTCCATGTTCAAAAATATTATCGCTTCAAATAAATATAAATCTAACATATCCGTTAGATTTAATTATTTTAGATTAGATGTTATATTTCTAACATATTATGATCAGCAGTATTCTCTACGCGTTATTCCATGTTCAAAAATGTTATCACTTTAAATAAAAATTTAAATCTAACATGTCCATTCATTCATCTGTCATATTATCTCAATTTTGTGCTGTACGACCTTGACGTAAGGATCAGACGTGCCGTTAACGTCCATGGCCGCGAGCTGCTCGCACCTCAGGATCGTCACGTGCAGTGTCGAGGAGTCGAATTCGTAGTCCAACTGAATTTGAATAACATTTTGCAAATAAAATTCTTCTAGGCATTTTTTAGTTTGGCCAACGCGAAATGGGAGACAAGACAAGTCATTTTTTGTTTGAATGGAGAATGATAAATTTTTTTTTTTCGATTTATTATATAACAATTTTACAGATATCAAGGTCCCCTCGTTCATACGTGGGTTGTTGAACCAAATTCTAGAAACTAGAAGAGAATTGAGAGTGAAACCAATTGAGTACGACATTACTTCGGACATTTTAAGCTTAAAAAGAAAATTTGCTGTTTCAACGTGAAAATTTGCTGTTTCAATTAAAAAAAAATAAAATAACTGTGATAAACAAAACAAAAATTTTATGAACGTAGAAGTTTATCGACTACCAAGGCACGACAAAAAAGCAACATAAACGTAACGAAATAAAGAAACAAAGCTGCTACGAAATTTATGGCACATTTCAAGTGCCGCACTAACTCTGCACTGGACGAATTCCACTCCGCACTGGATGACTAACTCACTCTGCACTGGATGACTAACTCACTCTGCACTGGACGACTGACTCACTCTGCACTGGACGACTGACTCACTCTGCACTGGATGACTAACTCACTCTGTAGTCTGTACTGGACGACTGACTCACTCTATACAGGATGCGGCCAAGACATGGCTTCTCCTCCTGTTTGCTTGACGCGGCGTCCTGCTCCTCGGCGAGTCCCGCCAGCTCCTCCATTTCTGCCTGGGCAGCGCAACACAAGAAACTCAACAGCTTTGAGTGCCTCAAACACACCAACATTGCCGAAGGAAAACTAGCCAAAAATGTTAAATGATCTGAACTTGCACCCATGTGGTACTATCTTGAATGAAAGAGTATCCGAAACTATTTTAACGGTCGAAAATTATTTTTATTTCCAAGTTTTTCACATATTTTAGCGTGGGAAGCGACCTCCATGAGTCAGCTTGCAGACAGGCTTCAATGAGTCGCGTCGATTTTCAACTTTTTGCTATTGTCATGAGACCACGTATTTTTTATTCTAACAAATTAAAGTTTTCTTAATTATCCAGACTGCATTCTAGTTTGTTTGTTTTTAACAGTAGAAGAGCTTTGCTTTTTAACGCAAGCTTTACGTGCGTCACAATATAATACTTTGCTGAGCTCGTCCAACATACGAGCTCAAAGTATCTACCGCCACCTCCGCGAAGTAACTCTTCGTAAACTAAACGAAAAGGCCTGTCGAACATTGAATTTTGTCCAAATTATTATACCTGCGTCCCAGTAAGAAGAGTATGAAGCTGTGCAGCTGTTCAATGGCAAAGTTCTACATCAAATGTTTACTCAAGTGGTATGTCGCTCACTCCTTGAGCGACATGTGTGAGAGCTTCCAGCTCACGTCGATAGCTGGTCACGAGGGACATTTTAGTTGCTTGTGGAATAGGAGGCAAAGTGTTACGCAAAATAAAACCACTAGCGCAAGATGGTTTACCTGCATTGATATAAAATCATTGTCTAAAGGACGTCAGAGAAATTGATATAAACAGAGCGAAAACCAGCATTCTCTGATTATGCGACAGCTTTCAAATGTATGAAAAAAAAATTCTTTAGGCAAGTGAATTTTTTCAACTGATTATGACTCAATGGAGTGACTACTTATATATTAAATTTGATACTTATATTAATATATTTTACAGGAAAACTCCAAACTCACCCTTTCTTTAGCCGCCTCAGAGAGCTGCTGCAAGGACTTGACGTCTGGCCCTTTTTTCTTCTTATTTCGTCGTCTGCACCTCCTGCAGCATCGCGTGTTGCAGCCGCAGCAGCAGCACATGCACAGACCAAGCAGCAGCAAGCCCAGAGCTGCAGCACGAGCAGCACGAGTCATTTAAGTCCCAAACCCATGATCGCTAATTATTTTAACAATATATTGCTCCGAATTTTGAATTTGGCATCCAGAAACTAATGCTTTTTTATAGTTTGGCATCGAGGAGACTCAGAAAATTAATAATATGCGCAGTCAAGAGAAATATTTTTTCCCATTGAAAGGCTGATGGGTTCGTAGTTGTGCTCCATACTCAACACAATAGCGAAGGTATCTAGGCGAATGATGAATACGTGAGTTTGGAGATACTCTGTTGATCGAATGTTTCCTATTATGGGTGAAGCTCGTTTTTCTTTAAACGTTGAGACCAGGGGCCTTCAGCCTGACAGAGCAAATGATCTGCATACAAAAATCAGACCATATCAAACAGAGACAATTTACCTGTATACAGTGATAAAATAACTTTCAATTTACGGGATAATTTTATATAAATGGAATTATTCTCACCGGCCAGGCTGGCGATGAACGCCTCCACAGAGAGGTTCATGTAATGAGCCAAGTCTTCTATTTCATGGAGCATCGTTGTGGTGGTGGTGCCTTGGTGTGTTCAACGAATTTGATCAAACTCAATCCTTTGTTTTTGGATGAATTAACCGTCGTCAATGCTATTTGTACGTAGAGTCCAGGTAACTAGAGTTACCGCCAGTAAAAATTGGGTTAAGATCTTTATTTCGATAATACGATAAGACTTCTCATTTTATTGTGGCTTAAGATAACATCTGAAATATACGGACAAATCATATGAAGTGATTATTCACCGCATTTGTTCTAAGCTTATCAAATATCTCAGGTTTTTGGCTTTCATTAAGTAATCTGAGCTCAAAAACCCAACTTGCTCAGACGTATGATCAACTGTTCAGAAAGCTTGATATTTTGAAGACAATTTCTTGCCAATACTTTTATGTCTCAAAGTATCCATCATTATTTACTCTGTGAAAAAGAATTTCAATTTAGACGCAAAACTGCCTCGCTGAATTTCATTAATAGGACCAGAGTGTGCGCCAGTCCAGGGATATCACGTCATGGATTTGTTTATACAAATTTCCAACTATTAAGATTTTATACACATGCTCTTCATGATCATTCAGCCATCTCACCAGCACTTAACTCTGCCACGACATCAGCAGGCCACCTCACAAGCACCTCACCTCACTCTGCCAAATCAGCAGGCCACTTCACCAGCACTTCACACTGGCAGTCCACCTCACTCTGCCACGACACCCACAGATCTTTTCAGCAACATCACAGTGCCTTCGTCGAACTCTCAGGCCGAACACTTGAACAAACAGTGTTCCAGTGATCATGGCCTCCATTTGCTGCCACGAGCAGAGTTGACTTCAGTGTTCGAGAACAAATTTAATGCATTAGGTTTTATAATACGCTCCTTACTGTGTTATACTGATAATAATAGTTCGTGCCATTGAATGACTTTTGAAAATTTGATCAATTTTAGACGGTCATCGCTAGGCACGATAATACTTTACAATATTGCTGACGAACCAGTCGTTGTTTCAAATCCAGAGTTTCGTAATATTCTGCTGAAATTTGTACCGAACAAAAACATGACTGACGGCACATACCACGCAACTTCAGAAAACGCACCGGCCTTGAGCACACAATACAATATTATCAATCAGTAAATTCAAGCCCAAAAGGTATTTCTTCAAGAAATGACAGCAAAGAAACTTAATTAAATGTGAACAAAAATGTTCCTGTCCTCAGATAACGCAGTAAAGAAATGAGATGATCGAATACTTCCCATTTGAAGGATCCTTGGAAAATTATTGACGGTAACTGGCTGTTCAACTTTTTAGAAACTCTCGCAAAAAATGAAATTTTCAATCATTCATACTTTCCGGAAGCGCCGTTTATCATAAATTCCGAAGAAAAATTTTATACAATTTATTAACTGGTCAGGGATAGCTACAGTTATCAATTATTCCCAACAACAGCAATTCGAAAAATTACCGAGAAGTGCGTGCAATACGATCGAAGTTTCTCCAATTCGAAGTCCGTCCAGTTTGCAGTTTTTCCAATTGGAAGTCCTCACTCGGAAAGGATAAGAAGAAAAACCATTCCAACAATCAATAATTCTAATTAACTTTCTTAAAGTATACATTACATTATCGAATAGTTATCCACATTTCACAGTAACGGGTAAATAATAAAACATCTGATAAGTAGACACTAACTTGTTATTCAAAATTAACAGGATCACAACACATATGTTATTATGTATAATTAAACACAAAGATAATTCATTGAAATAAATATCACGAATACGGTTGCTAAACACTCACAAAGTTGTTGAGTTTACCATTAAAAAATTCTACGCCTACAGGTTTAAATTTGGAACCAATTCCGACAGCATGAGGTTAGCCCGAGGAAAGTAGTAATTAAATGCAGCCCGAAAGCCAACTGTGTAATAAACTCCTTTAAAAGTTATATCTATATATTCACTCTCATTCAACTCAAGTATGATAAAATCACTAGGAAAATTACTGTAAATTGAACGAATTGCATGCAAATTCGTCATTACTATTAAGCCAACGTGCCGAAGTGTACAGCCAAGAGAAACTTGATGAACAACTTTATGCTCTTAAATTTAGTGATGCAGGACCGTCGTTAACGGCAAGGTACTCCTGAGTTATACTCCTATTGTAGGCAACTTGAAAAGAGCTCTAATCGGGTCATTAAATTGAACTCTACCTTCATCGTGAAGTAAAATCACGGATGATCATTGAAACATAAAAAGTAAGTAGTTTCACATACTCGACCTTGATGGTAGTCAGTAACCTCTGAAACGTTTTGTTCATCTGCAGGATAGAGTTCCTTTTGTTAATAGGTCTAGTCCGACGATCGACGGCATTCACCATTTATTTCCTAATCAAATACAAGGTTATTAGAGAACATCGCTCCGTTGAAAGCGGCAGTGCCATCCAACGACGACCGGATCATAGGCCTATGTTGAACCAACCAAGAAAGCCAGACGACAAAGTGTGAAGTGTGGTGACTGGTGTGTGTCTTGTCGCAAAGAAGATACATCGAACGTGGCCCCCTCGTCAACCAATAGCACTGCTCGTAAGGTAGCGCTACGACAGGCCAACCAAACACGAGATGAAAATCTCATGGGCTGCCCGTCTTCTAAAATAAAATCTAAAACAGGAATAAAATGGTACATGGGAAACATTGTGGCAAGAGAAACACAGGTAACTTAAATCTATAACGTGAACCCAAGGCAAACACATTCGTAACTGAACTGAGAGCGAGTAGATGAAATTGATCACTGCAAAAGCTCATCAAACATCTTACGGTGGAACGGGGTAACAAATGAATTTCAATTAACCTAGTTGAATAATTAAACTTATTCCCGAAAATTCATTTTTAGCACTAAAAACAGAATTCGAGTTTCGAATTATAGGCGCTATTTTTTTCTGAAGAATTTTAAGAGTTCCTCCTACAAAAAAAAACGGAAAAAAATCACAGGCTTGATTAACGTCGACATAAAGAACTCGAAAGTGTGATAAAAAAAATTCACTCATCATGAGACTGAAAATAATGCGTCACAGACAGCAAGGCTTTTCTATAGTCTAACTATAGGATGTAGAGTTTGCATGAGCGGCATCCCGCAGACAGCGAAGCGGCCTGGCTGAGAAAGACGCTTCAAATGGCACAGCTCAGGCAATTGCGGAGAGTATTAGCTTAGTGAGTGTACTTCAACTTTGTGATGAGAACATACACACCTAGACTACCTGAATAAAGTAACAAATTCCAGTGTACGCATATCAAAATTAAACACTACACTCTAGAGGGTTGGGAAAATACGAACATTCTTTGATTCCCTAAAAAGATGGGTTGAAGTGAAGTAAAAATATTCCTTTCTTCCGAGCTCTTAGGGATGCATAAAGACCTTAGCTATTCAGAGTGGAGTAATCAATGAGGACGGGTTATAAAATCTCCAAAAACACAAAAACGTTCTTAACCAATCATAAACTCTATTCATTTCCTCCCACAGTAGGAATGCGTGATTGGAAAACTATATCATCTAACAGGCCATTGAAATTTACGCATAATGATAGACATATTCAGCGACATATCTGATAAAGTAACAATTCCTAACAGTGTAATCATTTCAATAAGTAGAACAGCTCATTTTTGGGTCTGATTGTTTCTCCTATGAAGCTTAGCTCAATGGCAACAACTGGCAGCTGAAGTATGTTTTCGGATTATTGTGAAAATATTTGTAGGACAGCAATTGGGAAAATTCTATTAATTCGCGGCGCTGGCCTCCATGTTAATGTTCCTTTGACAATATCACGATGCAAAAAGACGGGAAAAATAGAATAAATTGGACTTTGGGTTTCGTTGAACTTCAAGGAGACGTTTCTCTTTGATGGAGTAGTATCTTTTGCGTCACTGCTAGTGCATGGAGGCTTACATGCCCTCGTCCTAAATGAGACTGATGGAGTCCTACCAATGCTATTCACAACCTAAACGATAATCTTTGGTTTTAAGCAAGGATGCAAGAGTGCACGCAAGAACTTCTTTAATTCTCGTAATGCTATTCTATAGAAACCGTGAACTTAGTACTTTATATTATTTACAAAGAATAGGGAGCAAGGAATTGCCATGCTCGTCTCACTTCTATCATGATCTATCTCACTATAGATGATTTAAACTAATAGAGGAAAGAGCACTGACTCGAGTTGAACTTGTCACCGTTACACACATATATAATAATATTAGTAATAGTAGTAGTACGGAGGATACGGGTAAACACTCTATTAATGGAAGGGAGTATAACTTCATGCAGTTGCAAAAGGCTTTTTTTTAGTTCAGTGCTTCTTTCCAGAATTTCACTATATTAATACACACGGTGATAATCGTTATGTTAGAATCGAATAGACGCGGTCTCTTGAATTTAATGAATACTGCATTCGAGATGCTTTTACGTGTGCAACATTTCTGTTGAGGAGTGAACTAAATTATGTGAAAAAAAATTATACGTTTGACGAACTGCCAGGAACTTGAACAATTTTCAAAAAAGAGCCGAATAGCAGATAACGATCTGCAGTGGCATTTTGAAGTGCCGTTCCTGTGAGACACTTAACCATGAAAACCACGAAAATAACCATGAAAACCATGAAAGACACTTCTTGAAACCCATGAAAACCATTCGTAATCATGTAGCCTTTCATCCCGAGATTGAATTTCAGTTAGCAGTCACATTCGTCAACTATTACTGCATAACGCCATAATTTCAATTGCTAATCTACCGAATAAATCCATTATTCCACGGTTTATTATTAACTGATATGGTATGAAATAACAATGTAGTTACCTAACTCCTGGTTATTTTTACGTGCTAAATTGAACCGCCAACTAACGTTCACCGTTATGCCGGCTTAATGAAGTAATAGAGAACTGGGATGACTGAGTAGGTTCGGGGTGCATGCACGTTCTTACAGCACCGATCGCTCAGAGAGTCCTGCGACACGACTGGTGAAGACCAACGTATTGATCTCACGTGCGAACCCTTCCGTGATTTTCCCCATATCGCTCTTGGGTAACACCAACTTCTAAAAACATGGAGATTCCTCAATAATGAGTTAATATTTATTCGAATTTAATTGAGGCCGGCAGAAAAATACAGCGTGATGCAATCAATCCTCAAACATAGAAGGAGGAGTTGATGGAATTGATGCATGACTACGAAGATGCTTTTTTGCTTCAATGACAACTCCTGCTAAATGATGCCATTGCTGAGTCATATTTTTTAAAGGCGATCCTTCTTTTTGACCTGAATTGTAGTTCAATTGTTAATTTGCGTTCGTTTGACACAAATTTCAACACAATCCTCCAAGACGATCGCGATCTAATTTGACTTACGGCAAGTCATCCTGAGTATTCCTCGGTTTTCGCAGTCATTGACAAGTTTCACGATCTCCCGTTGTTAGATTTGAAAAAAAAGAGGCTTCAGCTATTCTGAACGTTTGAAGTTGAAGAAAAATTACATTGAGATTTTCCGCAGTATAGCTCCGTTGGCGCCGCATCTGAGAGAAAATGAAAGCATCGTAAATTTCATTTTCTGCACTAACTTTATCAACAAGAACTTTTTCTAAACAAAATCGGAATAAACTTAGGAAAAATATTTCAACCATCACCAAGAGAACGTTCCAGGAAAATCAGACATAGCTGACCTCTACTTCAAGTTGAGGATGGCATCAGCTTCTTCAGGATCCTTCAGGGTGTGCCACTGGGCGATGGGGCGGCGCGGAGAGGCCAGCATGTCAGACCAGTGGCGCAGCTCTGTGCCGCTGGCGTTCATGCCGAGACACACTCTGCCGATGGGCTCCGAGGTGCCGATACGATCGTAGTCAACCACTGTCACTTGCAGGTTCACTTTCTGCAACAGCAAACATGTTTGTGGACCCCTTTGTAAACTAAATCTGATAGATAAGGTGTATCTTTAAAATCAAAGAGATTATTGATGATCATTCTACATGACCATACTGCATGAGAAAAAAAAGGTACTGCATGACCACTTATATACCACATTAACACCTAATTAACTACGTTTAATGTATAGGCCCTCCCACAAGTGTCAAGCGAATTCAAGTTTTGCCGCTGGACAGATACTGAAACAAGGTTTACAGTCAGTAAACCAAATGAAGCTAAACTTGAAACACATATTAACCTTGAGTTCAATTATAAATTAAAATGATACGTACGGGCACTTGTTCGAAGGGAATTTCAAATGAGAAAGACTCATTGTAGTAAGGATTCAGCGTACACTTCTTGATGCTGGTTTTCTTCTTCTTTAGCCGCTTGCCATTCTGGATGAGGCAGATCTTCACATACGGATCTGCATACGATTTCAACACAATTTAATTCAAAGTTAAAAACAAAATATGGCTGTAAATGAGCAAAGATGATCGAAATATTTTATTATATACCCATTATTTCTACTGAATACATTAGAAAAAATGCTCTTTTAATAAAAATTTAAAGTAATAATTGCATTCGGCAAATCTAATTAATTTTTTCCTCGGGACGGACACTATTGCAACCTCGAATGAACTAATGTTATTTTATACAAATGAATACTATATTTATACAAGTGTTTAAAAACAAGTAAACACCCACCAGAGAGACCACCGACGTCCATCTTCTTGAGGTTCTTAGCCTCCAGGATGACGACGGTGAGCTTGCCCGCCGTGGGTACGTAGCGCAGCGAGAAACAAATGTCTCCCAACTTTCCGTCCTGTGATGCAGCAATAAATACCATGCACGAGTCAACACAATTAGAAATTTTATATCAGTACGGATGAGGTACACTCATCCAAGAATCAGGTGTAAAGTGACTATACAATGACTACAATTTACGAGATAATTTTCATAGGTCTAAAACTTAATAAAAAGTTGACAAAGATTGAATTAACAGTTGACTTCGATGGTTCGTTGAAAACACCGACACTTTGAAAAGATCACAAATTTACTTTTTGGCGTTATTGTGCCTCTCGCGTAGCTCAATTTCATTTAGAGAAATCTGTATTTCACTTGTCACAACATTTAAATGTTTTACTAGATGATTTAAAGTAACTTAAATTGAATTAGCCGTTTACGCGTCTCTCCAGTCAAAAATCCTGGCCAATAATTAAATAAACGACAGATACAAATCCGAACTGTAATGTGAAAACCGTTTTTTTATTTAATCGAAACTGTGGAATGAAAATAAAGTGAAATCATCTGTAGGGGTGCACCGTGAAACGCCGTTGCAATGCTTGCAAATAAAATGAGATCGGTTCTCGATGAGAGGCTTCTACGGCCATTATAAGTATATATAAAAACAAACATATTTCATGAGTGAGTACGTTGATCGCAATACTTTATTTTCTTTTCCTATCGTCGTGCGGGTTACGGTGTAAATGTTTTCAGTGTGTCTCAATAATTATTTTTGAAAACCGTTAAAAATGCCCTATTTTTCAGACTTGTCCGTTGGCGCTACCCAAATTCTAAAATTTGTTTTAGACCACAATCGAATTTGCCACCGTTTTTGCCATTTCATTCCAAATTCGTTGGCTAAAAACTTTTTGATACCTAAATACAATTGCGTTAAGATAGTGTAAATTAATTACCACTTATGAGATACTTTACACTCACCTTGACGCGATTACACCGTGGGAAGGAGAGAGCAGATAGGAGAACTTATAGCAAGGCTTGCACTCATTAAATCTACAAACGATGAAGCTGATTTGAGTGTCTTTTAGGTCTTCGCATTCCTCTATTTGCTAGTCAGTATGGGACTAATTAATTAGCATATTATATAGAAGTAGAGCTAAAATGCAATAAGTAGAAGTGCGTAAGTAAAAAACCGTTCAACAAATGCCAAGATTCCGAAATACAAGGAGTATGAATAGTTGGAAATGGGCTAAAGTAACTTACCTGCTTCTTTCAGCCAGGAATGGAAGTGATCGAATAGTATAAGATTTAAGTACCGCTTACAAGTGATAACAACTACTATCAACAAACTATAGGATCCATCAGGTATTTAATCCGACAACCTGTTCTCGCCGAGTCATATATTTGTAAACCAAATCGCAGTTTAGATGATTCATTTCACAATTCAATTGTTAAAATAAGTGCAATTGCAAAATTAACCTTCCTTCACGGAACAATTGTGATACCATACGTCGAACACTTTAACCTCGAAATATTATTCATAATACATTAATAAATTCGTGAATTTCAAGTTTTATTACATTTCAGTGACAACAGACTGAGGAGTCAAAATACTTGCAGAAAATTGTATGGCTCATTAACAATCTACTGAACTATAACATTTTCAGTAGACAATTCCGTGCGATGTTTGAGAATTGCATACCATTGAACTCAGTTTAGCATTTTTTTTAGTTTAGAACTTATTGAGAGAGAATGAACTCTAGAGTTTTTACCCGATCTATCATTCGGTCAAGATCGCAACAAATCAAAAAGTAAATCGAACGTCAAGTGTAGTTGAATTAAATATTATTTAACATTATTGAATATTATTTACACATGATTACAGCAGAATTGTTTTGCCTTAAGGATTTTCGTGTCTATAGGTACATTTAATCACAAGTTTAAAATACACGATGACTAAAAATAAAATCAACAGTTTACTCCACAATATACCCACCAGCGGAAGACGACTTCATCTCTCAAACAGAATACTTACGGAAAACAATACGCAGCGTCCAGTCCGACACCACCATCATGACAACCACCACCACAATTGGGCCGGGAGATTGGTGGTGGTGGTTCATGAGTACGAAGGTGATGGTGAACATGATGATGATGGTGTGCAGCAGTAGCAGTAGTAGGAGTAGTAGAGTAGTAGTGGTAGAAGTGTAGTAGGAGTGTGGCAGTAGTGATCGAGCCAAAAGTCATGCGCAGCGGACAAAAAATGGATCGACAAGTTGAACAAACACATGACAAACTTTGCACATTGTCCACTTCCAAATGACTTCATATCGGCAATAATTATCTAAAAAAGATGAATAAATATAAATTATTGCATTATGCAATTGCAGGACAGTTCAATTGCTGTGAAATTTGATGCCCGATGGCAAAAGAAGGGAAATGTTGAAATATAAGAACGGAGGCATACTCGCAAGATGCCAGTAGAAAAGTAAGTAGAAAATAGGGTTGCATGGTCGTAGCTATTGATAAAACGCAAGCCTATTTGTAAGGGGAAAAAAGTAAGGGAGAGCAAATCACAGTAGTCAGAAAACTTTTCAAGACAACTCACATCAAAAAAAAAGAGTCTTGTTACTTTCTTTAGATACTTGCCACCAATAAATTTGTACCGAAAAAGTAGAAGACTTTAATCAGATCAAAATCAATCTAGATGGCAGAAGAATCAGCATGTAGACTTGCAGACATATTTCAGCGAAAGTATTGTCAGTGGTGGTTGGATTAAGAGTGGTCTCTTAATCCAGGTTCACGCACCATACATACATAAGTCTTGCACATGTAAAACTTTGCGTTCAAGTTAAATTTAGATGAAATAGAAATATATGCCGTAAAATAATATGAATCATGAGCCAGTACGTAAGATATTTTAAAAATATTCATTTTTCATGGTGGAGTAGGCCAAGAAGCCATGTTTTTATAAATAGTTACCAGTCATAATGTACGCAACCACGTGACGATTGGTAAATATTATGCACATTATCTCATCCCATCAGGCGGAAAAATTCCTGTAATCCTGGCCGTCAGAATTAAAATAAATTGGCAAATTTACAATGTATGATTGGATTGACGTGCTTAGCGTGACACAAATATCAGGTCCTAGAAAAAACTCGTAACTGTGTGAATGCAGTAGTAAATAATGAGGTTCGATGTTCAATGCGTTTCATTCTATCGTTCTCGGGAATGTGAAGCGATATTAACGTTTGGATTAAAAATTTACTCTTTCTCGGAGGTATTCGGAATTTGATGTCAGGGCATCGGGTATCCTACTCGACAGGAAGATCTAGGACTCCCACAATGGGGCACTCAGGACAAAACCTAAAACTACGATGGCAGGGAATATTCCTTGCCTATGAACATGCAAAATCTTACCAGCTGCCGAAGTCACATCGTATAGCAGCTTCTTTTTAAATTTTCACTAGCCTTAAGAGTCACTATAATCTTCATAAAGAGAATCCAGACCCAAATGAGGTTCTTAATTACCAGATATCACGTTCAAAAATTCTTTGATCATAAGACTAAATCAAGAGTTAAGGTATAAGGGAATTCTACTCGTAAAGGGGAAAGCATGCAAGCGTGTGTGCCATGAAGTGCCAAAGGTTTGTGGGTTAGCTGAAAAACAGCTCGCGCTGAGTCACGAATTCATCACCAAACGCCATTAATTGAACATTTAAGAATAAAGTGACCAAGATAAGAGTATAAACTCGAAAAAAATAAATGATGTTAGTTTGGAGCCATTTGCAAGTTAGATAGAATTTCATTTGCACCCCTCAAGAAAAGGCTTCATTTCTGTTTATAACATCAATGGAATAATCGAAAACTTCTGATAATCCAGACACGCAAAAAAAATATTTAAGAGTGATTGGTGTTTCGGCTGTTGACTCAAATCATGTGAATATTAGTTTCTGTAAATATTTCATATAAGCTTGAAAACTTAAAAGAGGATAATTATCATCTCATATATAAAGTTCAAAATTACCGATGAGTTAAAAGAGCTGGCTGTCCAGAAGCGAACATCTGATAGGTAGACGAAAACTTGATTCAGCAGCGAGAGAAGTAGCGGTCGGGGGGAAAGAGGTAAGTCATGCTAGCACGCCAAATGAGAAGATTTACAAAGAAAACACCTACCTATGTAATAACCAAGGTCTCCAAAACATCACGGCTTTTTGCTAAGAGTATTCTCGTGTGATGTCTCCTATTTTCTTCAAATGAGGAGCGTAACTTCATAGGAACGAACCACAGTTCGGAAAAACTCTTACCATGAGATGAGCACCCAAACACTCGTAACGTCTTCAGTTTTATTTTGTATGGATCCTTTAGACCTTAAGCTTTTCTTCTGAAAGCTGACAGAAAGGATGACCTATGAGATGATCCGCACGATTATCCGCGTATTTTTGTACCGGTATTCACGTTAAAATGCTTGAAATAACCACATTCAATTTATAAAGCAAAAGAGAAATATAATAAAATAAAGAAACAAATCCTTGTCTCGTTCCAGTTGGTTACAATTTATGACACCCTATTTGTCACGACTGTGAGGAACTAATATAAAGTTGACCACGGCGCATGGCTATGAATAGCTTTATCGAAGCTTCCGTTTTTCCTCCTTTACCCAAGCAGTGATATGACGTATAATGATGAATAGATGATAACAGGATCCGAATTGATGAAAGGAATAAAAGCTCGTGTTATCGACTTTAAGAACACAGTGAAGGGTCCTTGTTCTAAGTTAAAGTCGTAAAATAAACCAGGTTGAAGGGCTAAATTAATTATAAAAGCAACAACACATACGTGAACACACTACAAACTCGTGAACTATGAGAAACCTAATTGTTAGAATAGAACACGGATAATTTTCAACTTACATTACATCCACAAGGGGGAATAGGGAAACGTGACTGTAAAGCACTTTTGAGTCTGAAGACATTTTCTTGAGGACTTAACTTGAATCAGTTTGGTGAGCTACGGTACGGGTACATACGATAAACGATTGCCAACAAATCCCAGATCTGTTCAGCGAGTTTGAAGCGCGAGACCAAAAGCCATGTCTCGTGGGAGGTCTCACCTACCGCTAATGACTTTTTACAACAAAAACGACAAAGAAAGTCACAAATGAAAAATTAACTCAAGATGGTGGCGCTAAGAGACCAATTATGCTCTCTACAGGACCGTGGTACCACGGAGGATAAGGAGACAACGTCGATGATAGTTGGGAGCAATGACACCAGTGGGTTACGTAGGAAGGCGTGGGTTACAGGGAGGCTATAGGAGGACAGTGAACTAGAAGGATGTGGAGTTTCAGCAACACTATAGGAGCAATTGTATCAACAGTCACGCAAATAGGATGTCTTAAGGAGGTTAATTTGTTGGTTGAAACATCGAGATTTGTTAATGTGGGCGGGATATTTGACCAGTGTCAAAACTATAGCAAAAGTGACTTTAGTGCAGCGAACAAGAGGTACAATAAGGTCCCAGGAATGCTAGTGAAGGTGCACAATAAAATGAATAGCAGGGGCCAGGAGTCTCTTTACTTTTGTTCAGTAATGCTCAACATATTTCACCTAAGCTGTGAAAATGGATTGATATGTAAACAAACGATCGCAGGATTGACATGATATCGGGCAAAAATTTATCTAGTTATAACTTAAGGAAAATCAATGATGTACAAGGATTTAATTGATGGTGACTTTCGACAGGCAATTAAACGACTTGACAAGCAAACAAAAATTACGAATTAATAAAACCCCAAACTTCAACGAAAAAAGAACGAGATCGCAATTTTGAAAAGTAGCTAATTTTATCGAATCATAATTACGCACAAGATGAAAACCAAAGCTGTTGTCTGGTATAGCAAAGGATAAAATTCAAAGAAATTCAATTAAGATAGGAAGAAGGGAATGTACACAAGGCTCAATGCCGATAGCATAAGAGATGTTGTCTTGATTGGTTCACAATTTTTAGTCTAGTTACTTGAGAAATATTCAGTATAATATTAACGTAGAAAATATAATATAGGAGAATTTTTCAAAAGTGCGCATGGGCTTGCAAATAATAATCATTGGCAATAATAATTTTTTAGTGAACAGGTTTGCACGCAATCGAAACCAACGCCCAGTATATTACGCCTGAAACTCATAGCCTTAAAATATATAAGAATTTTTCCTTTACTTGAAAGAAAGCCGTGAGCAGGATCAATTTCCAGATTACAGACTTTGCCAGAGCAAAAAAAAAATATATTTATATATAATATATTTGCGTATACTTTTCAGCGCAGACAACCTTCCTCGAACCTTTAGCTGCGTCGGGGTTATTTCGTCATTGCTGCGTGTGCTTCTTACGAAAAATGAATCGCTTCAGCCAGCTTGGCACGGAAGACAATTCAATTTCACGGAAGTATTCAAGTTGAAACAAATAATAGTGATAATAATAAATATAAATGTCTTGTTACAAAGATTTTAGCTTCGACGCCTTCTGATCAGAGCACACTATAGAGCATATTATAATATGGAGAAACTGCAAACTAAGCTTTCCAGATTTGAATTTTTTTCGTCAGGATGAACAAGAGGAATTGCAACGACAGTCACGTATTTCATAGAGGAGTAATTGAAGTATAATTACTGTTTGGCATCCAACTTCCAACATGTCCTAAAATTACACTAAACAAGCAGGTTTCAAATTAAAATTTTCTCTAAATGACAAACGATCCCAAATTATCAATAATTTCTAATAATTTTCTGATGATTGAATCTGCGAGACAAGCGTCCGCTCGAACACTTGATTAATTATCAACGCTCGTCGTTGACTGATGTTAAAATTCAGGATAATCACAAGTAGATTAATTTGTCCCTGGGAGCAGGAGAGAGCAGATGTTTCTTAATATATTCGGCAATACACAAGAAAAAAGAAGAAAAGCCATTTCAAAGCTCGTTCACTAATAGTAAATTTATTAATTTTATTGCAGTAAATACTAAATAAATGACAGCCAATCGAGCGCAAACTCGTTGCTCGTTGACAAGATCGTTATTCATATTACTTGCTATTATGTATTCATTGAAACTCACTTGGCCTCCATCGCCTTCAACGCTCTGCAGTTCCCTCCACTCCTCGATGGTCTGCGCAAGATCGATCTGACAGAGCGGGATTTTGACCTCGCCGATTTGGTCATGTTTAGAGAACCTGTCAAAGTCATAGATGCCGAACACCAGAGTCTTGGCCATGATGTCGGCGTATGGCACCTGCTGGGATAAGGAGGCACCAAGCCTAGGTCAGACCAAGGTACTGTAGAGGGTAAAAAAGTTGCAATTATTGTTCGAGTGTAACTCTAATAAAGGTAAAAGTCATTAAACAGAATTGAAATTCTTCAAAAAGCCAAGCATTAACAAAATGTGCACAGTGCAATTTCCCTAAGTGAAAATGAAACACTTCATTGCACGGCAGTAGCTATAGTAAAATGTTTCGTTCTCAAGAGACAAATGAAATGTTATCATCCATGGAATAAAGAAGATAATTGCCTCCGTTTAAATGATTAATTGATTGAAGAGAGTCGGTAACTATACTATTCATTTAGACCTGATATATTGATATAATCAAGATAAAATAATCATAAACCCTTCTAAAATAAACAATTCTCAGTATTGTTGCCGTTTCACCTAAAGAGGATTTGACAATATGAAAAGCGTGCTGAATGCAAGAAATTCTGCAGCAATAAGTCATGAGTGCGTCATTGGAAGCAGCAGAGAGAAACAAAGTAAAGAAAATCAAGTTTAGAAATTGAATAAAAAATTTATTGTGAGCGAACGAAGCCTTCATGTTGATCATGAATGTGTCCCATTATATACATGATGACTTTCTTCGTCGGTGAGGCTACTCAGTTCGTGCAAATTAATTTAACAAATCTGCAAAAACTGCACCTTAGTTCAACTAGCCAGCACAAAATGCACCGTAGTTCAACTAGCCCGCACAGGCTGCGAAAAACAAGCTTGAGATTATAGAAATTGTTAAGACCACATTTCATGCGTCAATTTTAAATTTTAGTTTTTTTTTTCTAACAAACCGCATTCTAGAAACTTCGGAAACACACAAATCTACAAATTCTCATGCTCTCATCTTTTTCTAAGATTTTATGTCTCGTTTCAGTATTAACAAAACACTTACAGTATGAAAATGCGGCTTTCAATTATTGCATTCAATAATCTTAAAAATAAATTTCAATAAACATGGTAAAAAATTGCATCTGGATCTACCGAATAATGCGTGGCTGATAACATCAGAATGAAACCAATCAATGCCCAAAATGTTGAGCACAAAAGCAACTGGAGCAACTCCAACCTTATCCTGTTGTGAATAAATCTATAACTATAGATTGATATGAATATAATCGTATGAAACATATATCACTATTGACCGGACAAAAAACTTTTAAAGGGACAAACACTACATCCAGCGGTCTCAGACAGTCCAGTTTATTGAAGGCTATACAAATACGGCTAATGCGCTCTGATATCCCCCTATTATACCTTTCAGTGAAAGTGAATCAAAACAGCTGCATAACTCACACTTTGTCTTAGAAAAATGATAATTTCTTTCAAAAAGTTGAGATCAGGCTTTAGTCAGGAACTCGCAGAAAGCTTTTGGTACAAAGTAAACTTCCTACCCAATTTTTCAATACGCCAGGATAAGTAAAATGAACGGGAATATTCGATGGTCATGATAATTTAATCTGGAAATCTTTCGATGTTGGAGGCTCGGACGTAAACTCGGGATTGACAGGTTGTTAGTGTTATCACTCGATGCAGAGGGACTTAAGAACCAACTGGACATCTTTTAATACGGGGGAATGTAAGTTTTGATCAGGCTGAAAAATGTGTACTAATTCATTAAGCATAAACCATAAATTGGTTTAATTTGTAAGGCGCAATACATTAGGTTTTGGCCTGATAAGAAAAGCAGAAAAAATTGGGTAAAAATGAACCAAGTGGCTAAGTAAAATTCCAGAAGAGAATATCAATATAGGATAAGTCACACGTCGTAAACTTCACAGTCAACGAGGCTAATGCTTGCTCACTTAGGCCGGGTTCACACCATACAGCCGGCAGTGCCTGGCATAAGCCAGTCACGGTTCAGTCTAATATACTTTAATGCATTTACATAGAAGCATTCACACCAACCTTGCAAGTAACCTGCAATGCCCTTGATGAAAATAATCCTATGGATATACATTAACGAATATTGGACTGAACCGTGACTGGGATATGACTGGCATGTGCCCGGCAGTGTGGTGTGAACCCGGCCTTAATTACAATGTAACGACAACCTGGATGGTAACATGTACCAGGCTGGAAATATTCAAGCCAGAAGTCGTGCCTTAAGACACGAGACGAGAGCAAAACTCAACTACAATGCTATCAGACTTGAAAAAAATCGTTTTGGAGAAGCAGGCAGTATTTTGCAATCCAAATTCATGACAAAAGAAGTGAGAATATCTATTTTTGGGAAAGAATGAGAAGACATGCCGGCACAAAAAGTTAAAATGTTCTGTGGTTCACAAATGATGGAATGGGTGGCGAGATAGCTTTGAGAGTTACCTGTTGTTGGCATGAAAATACAAAGAGAAGCACACAGTTAGTGGAGGATTAGCGTCATCTACACACCAATGTTGGCTTGGGCGTAGCACATATTAGCAACGCGGTCACTGTGATTGGTGTAGTTCAAGTTGTATTTTCGTACTTGATTAGTAAACGTTTAATATTTCTGGATATTGCACCAGATTAAAGATAGGAATTAACACCAATGACAGCTTCTGCATGGCTCAAGCAACTCAATAAGTAGCAAACAATTAATTTTTACGGAAGAATAATACAAAGAACATACATTTTCCTATTTCTGTTAGATGCTAAGAAATTTATACACATATATTATCATACGATGTAGGAAACAGCTTGCATATTTAAAATTGTGTTTAATGTACATTTTCCGCTAGCAGTCTATACAAGGAAACCCGACTGAACCTTTCGTTTGGTTAGACGCATTTGTAAATTTTCAATAACATTTTTCTTATTGGAGCAAATAGGGGAAATGAATTGTTATTTTTTACACGTTGATCTCCCGTCAACATAATGAAGGTAACAAGCGATCAAGTTCGCGATTATCGCGTGATAATTCAGGAACTTCAATGACACAATATCGCAAAAACAAATTTAAATCGAAAGTAGGACTGATAAGGAGCTCTAAACTTAATACTTTGGGAATAAATAATGATTACAGAAGTTCATTATACTTGATTGCTGAAAAGCACGGTTGACCCTGCTCATCAGTAGCGTTTGGTTTATCATTTAGCTTCAGCATCATTTAAAATTCAATTAGCTTTAAGGGAATTCAACTACGGGATTTTGAAATAAATTAGGAAAATAGTGTCACATGAAAAGTAATACACACCAAACAGAAAATAATTCATTACTTCAATGACTACTTCTCTGTACGCTTTCATAAAATCAATGAAGGAATATAGGACAAAAAAGGTCAAGTGTTAACTAAACCGATTAGGAATACACACAAACCACAATAGATAGGGAACTACACAATATACATGGGGATAATCATCAATACAAGCAAAGTGTGTTGCTCTGTGAACAAAACATTAACCTTAAACGTGAAGATCTCATTGAAGACAGGGTTCAGGGTCTTGCGGTGCACTTTCGTCTCGTGCTTTTTCTTCTTGTCCGGTAGAAGATAGACCTGCAGAAAATAACTTTATATTACCTTACAAGACCACATTTCCGGCAACACCAGTCCATAAATTTTATTAGCATAAGAGATAACAGATCATAGAGGGATTTATGAAATAAAAGAAAATTTGCGAGATCCATGTGAAAAGGCTGAGGCTGAATTTCAGTTTCAGTCTTTATTCTTTATTCTTTATTCACACAAGAGCATACAAAAAAATTTCATAACAAGAAAATGACACTATGAGTCCCACTAAAAGGCTGAATTATTAACTCATGTATACACAATTAATTTGAGTGAAGAAAACAATCATTATTTATGGTGATATTAAGTATTGATGAAAATTACGCCACCTTGACGTAAGGATCCGATGTGCCTCCCATGTCGAGCGCCGGCAGATCTTCGCACTGGATCACAGTCACGCTAAGACTGTTCGAGTTGAAGTCGTACTCAAGCTGCAGTGTAACAAAGGGAAAATAATAATAGGGTTAACATAGGGCACGTTAATAATACATGTACATGATAAAATCATGCAATATAAAACGATATCAAGTTTCAACAAGTCTAATTTCAACAAGTCAAGTATTGAAATTAGCATAATATCAAGTGCATGTGAGATAGTATATTTCGATTATGTATTTAGGTTTATTATTTCGAATTTATCAACGTCTCATCGAATAATGTGTGAAAAGCAACATCAACATAGAGAAAAACTCAATTGGATGCGCGTTAGAATTTGGACCATAGGTTGACAAGTAAGTTGAATACTGGTCGCATTCTCCGTGGACTTTCCAAAAACTCTTCCTCAAATTTTAAGAAAAACTGACAATTTAAATGGGCATAATAATTTTCGAGGAAACGTTATTCAGCGTTTATTACCGTGAAATTGCATATCCAATCGTAAATACGACAATACTTCTCAAGTAACCACAGCATTTGAATATCAAATGAATTAATTATAGAATTTCCAATCTATTTTACTATAATCACAACTGATCAACAACTTTTTCTAGATGTCAACACTGATTTGTAGCTATGATGTAGTATTCAAACCCCTCAAAGCGTATTGCCGCATTCTGACCAATATTATATGGTTTTTATTTATAAGCGGCGAGTTAGGTATAGCATTTGCCAAGTGGCGACTATATCCAATCGTAAATACGACAATACTTTTCAAGTAACCACAGCACTTAGAACTTCAAAATAATTCATTATAGAATTTACTATCTATTTTTTAACACAACTGATCAACAACTTTTTATAGATAATACTGATTTTGTCGTTTTTACGTGGTAATCAAACTCGTCAAAGCGTTTTGCCGTATTCTGACCAATATTACATGGTTGTTATTTATAAGCGGCTAGTCAGGTATAGTATTTGCCAAGTGGTGACTCGTGTGTCTGGCCAATATTATACGGTTTTCATTGGTAAGTGGCGAGTTAAGTAGAGCATGTCCTAAGTGGCAACTCGTACGTCTGGCCAATATTATACGGTTTTCATTGGTAAGCGGCGAGTTAAGTAGAGCATTTGCAAAGTGGCGACTCGTGTGTCATTAACAATAAGCCGAATGGGAGAAAAGTCTGGACCAATCTGATGGTTGTTAGCCACGCGGCCGTTCGTCGTACCTTGTACTGGATTCTGCCGAGCTTTTCGTCGCTCTTCTTGCTCTCTCCTTCCTCGGCGATGTCTTCGGCATTCTCAGTGAGTTCTTCCATGTCAGCCTGTGAAATTATATTCCGGGATAATTATACTTTTCATAATAATAATAATAATTATGATAATAATAATAATAATAAAAATTTTAATAATAATAATAATAACTGAGAATAGCTTGAATCGTGAAAATTATTGTACCCAAGGAGAAACAAGTCTTCAAAAAATAAGGCGTCTTCTCCGAAAGTAAACATCTTGCGTGAAAAAAAAAATTAAAATTTTAAATACAAGTAAAGTTTTTAACGATACGTAATTATAATAGTAAATAAAATCAAAATACCAATGCAATAGTACAAAGCCAAGGTACTATACCTTCACTAGAGACAGATAATATGAAACGAAGACGAAAACTGCCGAAGGCAAGTATGGAGACATTTTAATATCAAGATAATAATGGCTACCTTGTCTTTGTAGGCAGACCCGAGTACGGACTTCATGTCAGTGCCGCCTTTGGCTTTCTTTGTCCGCCTCTTCTTGAAGAAGCGGCGAATGCAGCAGAGGCAAATGATCAGGATCAGCAACGCTATGCCTGCCCAAGTTCACAAATTCACAGAAATATGTGGGACATTGTCGAAATAGCGATGCATTTCTGGCCCTAGTGTAGGGTCATTCTAACCCAGCGATATGTCCACTCTATGCTCATGTTGTTTGTAAGAAAGTGGCTATTTGGACATTCCCATTCCAATTCCATTCCTTTTTTCGAACTTAGATATCAAATTAGTGGTCAGGGTGCACTCATGACTGGCGAACCACTGATCGATCAAGGTAAATCAAGGTGAAAATAATTCATATAGATAAACTATTAAATAATCAGGACAATGACTTAATTGAAAATCTATTGAGTTTCTCAGCTTATATACGTACGTTCACACCTATTTATTTAATTGTTTCACTTATAATCGCTGAATAACGATTAACGATCATATGATAAGGCTGAAGAAGTCAATCGATATCTCTACAACCATGCTGAATTATACGGTTAACCGTCATGAAACCTTTACTGTTTCTGTTAACGCGGACATGCAACTTTTCCACGGTAATCACGTACTCACATTAAACTACCAATGACTATACATGTCGAGGTTTTAAGGATTTATCTAAACGAGGATTTCTTATTTCAGTGAAATCAACGCGTAATTAGCGTCGCTTTAAGTTAATTTACCTAAAAGATGCATAAAAAGGATAATTAGCGTCGTTTTTAGTTAATTTACCTAAAGGATACGCATGAACTCACCAATAAGAATGGCGATGACGCCCTCGACGGGCATCCCGAGCTTCTCTGCTGCAGACTCGGCCAGGTGGTCCATTTCCTCCTTGATCATCTCCCCCGTACTCTTGGTCGGCTCACCCTCGTCCTCCATACTTGTCACCTCATCTGCCAAGAACTTAACGTCAGCCATACTCGTCACCTCATCTGCCAAGAACTTAACGTCAGTCATATTCGTCACCTCATCTGCCAAGACCATGACTTCAGTCATATTAGTCACTTCATCTGCCAAGAACGTAACGTCAGTCATACTCGTCACCTCATCTGCCAAGACCATCACGTCGGTCACATTAGTCACCTTATTTGCCAAGACCATCACGTCAGTCATGTTCGTCACCTCATCTGCCAAGACCACCACGTCAGTCATACTCGTCACCTCATCTGCCAAGACCATCACGTCAGTCATACTCGTCACCTCATCTGCCAAGACCATCACGTCAGTCATACTCGTCACCTCATCTGCCAAGACCATCACGTCAGTCACTGTCTCTTATACACATCTAGATGTGTATAAGAGACAGTCACATTAGTCACCTTATCATCTGCCAAGACCATCACGTCAGTCATACTAGTCACCTCATCTGCTAACTGGAACACGTCAGTCTTAGCTTGATTACAGGCAGTTTCATTTTTCACAAAGAACTTCGAAGTAATTCAATCAATCGATCGTTCCCTAATTTCATTTGAATGCAATTACCATCTGTCTTCTTCAGATGATCAAAAAGCATGCACTAGAGCTGATTGTTGTTTGGAATCATCAAAAGATGAGACCTGCATAATTATATCACCCTTTTGTACAAAGAAAAATGTTTGTCCTAATTCAAATGGTGCGACATGCATTAAATATTCATGAAGCGTGCACACAAACAAGCCTAAATAAAATCCTACAGCATTTATTCTAGTCGCTGCCAAGCAAGCATAATTAATATTATTCTATATTATTATTCACTTGACGCTCTCTGAACTGCTTTTGTTCTTGAAAACACCGCATAAACTGAGTGAATAATGCGCGAGTGTAGCGACAATACATGAAAGCATGCACATTGAAGGCATGCAGTTAATTTTCATGAAGTTAGTAAACAGCAATAAAAATTGAAGAACCGGTTAAGTAATTTAGCTTAATTGACGAACAAGCAATCAAAAACCACCAAGCATTCTGTGAAGGCCCTCCCCTACAAAAAAAAAAAAACATGGGCCTTACATGCTCAAGACTAAAAAAAGCTTCATAAGTAAATATTTTGGCATTATGTACATGAGAGAATATTTGTAGCAGCAGGAAGAATTATATCATACATAAAAATCATAATACTACATATTATTGACCGTCAAGTGAGTGAGGCTGTTTAGAATTAATATGTGGGCGGACAAAAGACAAAAAAATTGTAGCAAAAAAAAATAAATCATAATGTAATAAACTACTAATACCTTAATTAACTTACACCATGCAATTAACAAAAATTAAGCTAACGGCTGCTGAAAAGTTTATACATTCTAGTGTTTAGAAAGATGTTTCTATTCTTGAGGGCTGTCTTCGATTTTCGTGAACTGAAAAGCTTAAAATTTACCAAGGTAAAGAATGCATTGAATTTGTTTACTTTTTGCCCAAAAATAAGTACTTGAGTTTTTCGATTCCCCATTGACAGATTTTAGTAAAAAGAGCTCATTTATTCATGAATATATTCGTAAGAATCGTAAGTATACATATGGCCTAAAAGAAAATTATGTTCACGTTTATACCCTACCTGAGCGCCTTCATCTCGACGTATAGTTTCTCCAATGCAGCTCTGGTTTGACATGTCCGATAATTCAATTTTCTACAACCAAGGCCCCAAAGCTTTGATTGCATTAAAGAGTATTTAATTTCCACATTCTTCAAAGGCAATACCAACATTTTAAAGTTGCGTCCATACCTAATTGTCTCCTTGTGTGGTTTTGACTGCTGTGTACCAAACTGCAACTAATTAAATTTTCAAGTTTATTGCAATAACAATCAGCGTCTATGGTTATTCAACACAATGCTTCACGGATGATTCGAGGCAAGACATTGTCTTTAGTTTTAAAAACATCATCCCCGAGTCAGCAAGACGTTAGAGAAATCAGGTTAACCAAAACGTGCTCAATGAAAGATCAAGTTGGACAGGAAAGTATAGAACCACAAGACGTGAATTTCGATGAATGATGAACATACATCAGGATGTAAATATGATGCTGCGCACGCGTTGAATGACGTTGGCGTGAAAGAAACGTGAAGAAGTACAATACTTCGTAAATCGCACAATGAGTTGCCTTGTAGCAGAAACGAACATTCCTCAAAAGCAAGATGAATGAGAGGAATCGTGAACATTGACTAGCGAAGAGCCGCAGAGCGGTTAGGTATATGGGTTAGGTAAACTCACCAGTCATAGTGGTTGGCTCTGACGCCTCCACTTCCTTGACTTCAGATCCATGCGTGGCTACATCTGTTGGCCAGCCGCATTGAAAGAACCGTGGCAAGGGTCTCGTTCATTTGAAATATGCAATGCTTTAGTATGGTGATCTCTGAAACAGCCTTCCTCCAAATCGGTGTTGAAAAACGCATCATCCTCTCTCAATAGACCAGAATTGCTCAATTTGTATTTGCCTTTGCCTAATTAGAGCCTTCGACTAGAATAAATTTTCGACAGTTCAGGCGGTGGCTCCTTGCCCGGTTATCAGTCAGCAAGACTAATAGCTACTAAAGCTTTGTGGCCATCACATTATTGAATTGTTCGAAGTTAACATGCAAATTTGGAAAAAGAAACACTAAAACCCTTATGTGCTCTTGTCAGTAACCATTTCGAAATTAGAAAATCAGAAAATCGAGATCAGAAATTATGATGCACTTCGGATCATATATGTACTTTCCTGATCTTCTGGGGACCTGTTCTTGTGAATGGAGAAACCAGAGGTCTCAATATAATTGTTCTCATGGAACTCAAGTCATATCTAACGCTTAGTTAATTCATGTTCTATTTGAATTTGCCTTTTCAACTGATATAATAGCGACTCTTTGACAGCATGCTTAATGAAAAATTAAATTTGATTCATTTTTCTATTCACGTACTATTACTCAATGAGTAACGCTTATATATTCGCGTACGTTGGGCGCTTTGTATTTGAAGTTACAATATAGTGAAGACGAAACCCAAAACAGTCATACTATTGAACACGACTCCCATTAAATACCTTCCAATCGAATTAATACCTCTAAGGAAAATTCAACAAGGAAACTAGATTAAAGTCGATTTAAATTTAACTTAGCGTCACTTCGGACGAACATATAGATTAACTCGAGCTCCAGGGCGAGGTTATCCAAAGCAAAATACAACTCTACGAAACTATATCATGTGAGGCTGGTGTCTGTCATCTACGAGGCTCACGTACCTGCGGCAGCCGTTGTAATTTCTGTAGGAGGAAGCAACGTACGAAAATGTCATTCATCAGTTTTTATTGCGACACATCAGGATTAGAGAGACGTCCAGCTAAGAACCTTCTCGGACAGCTCCCTTTATTTGGAAAATTTCTGATCGAAATTGCATTTACCGTAACGTTGATTAGAACTGATTTTTACTTCTGAGGATTTTCTCACGTTCAATGAAGATGAAATATAATGAAAAACAAAACGTGTTAACTTTTGTCTCTACGATGTTGTGGTTTATTTAAATCAATTAAATCACTCTCTCTAAGTTTCATTTTTAATTATTTATGCCCCAGAATAAATTTTTACACCAAATTTCACTACTTCGATGCCAAAACAAAATCCGAGTAGGTCGATAGTAGGACATCAACTCCTGAATCAATAGGACTCAGAGATTGCCGGAACCCACTTAGCAATCGTAAAACGGGTAAAGCGAATACATTGACAAAATCGCTTGCATGACAAACACAAGGAGAGTTCAATTCTTCGAAGAAATAGAGACCTTCACTACTGAACCCAATAATAATAATAGCAGATATTTTAGCTGTTAAATGTTTTACACAAATGATTTACAGAACTAATTTATGAAGAAAATTTGAAAAAATTAGTATTAGTTAGATAAGGAATATCATAATGAAAAAACGCGAAGATTCCCGCGTATGAATAAGTATTACTTAATCCCTATGTTTGGCTGGAAATTATCGCAGTTATTTCATCAGTATTACATATTAAAAAACAGTGCATGTGAAGTACAGTGCGACATGGAGTGCAGTTAGTGCATATCTTAGTAAGTAAGTGCAGTAAGTGCAATTGGATCCCGATGAATCCAATAATACGGTGCTGGACATTTAGCGAATGTACAAACTAGTTCAATTTACATAGAAACTTATTACGATAAACAATGGCAATACATCCAAGCGTTTGGCACACCACAATAAAGCATGTCACTCATGGTGACTTCACAGTGACACCCTTGACGTCCCTTACTAACCGTAATAGTAACTCGACTTATTTTCACTCACCCGGCTCCCTTAATTTATTTCACTCGGCTCCCTGTGAATCACCCATCTTCCTTAGACTTAACGGCTCCATCTAAATCAGTTAGATCCCTTGATTTAGCTGACTCGCCTGCCTCCCCCAGAATGACATATATATCTCTCAGACTCACCCAGCCTCATTCAGATCCCTCGGTACTCGCTTAGTTTCATCTAAATCGCCATGTGCCTTGGATCAGGCCAGGCTAATCCCTCACTCACCCAGTCCCCTCACTCACCCAGTCCCCTCACTCACCCAGTCCCCTCACTCACCCGGCTCCTCGCTGAAGGTGTCAGCGTCACCCTCGTCGCCGGCTGCTGCCCTTGGCGCCCTCATCCTCGCTGCTCCTGAAATAGGCACATCATAGTGTTATATTTTACACCTATTTTCAACACAACAAAATTATTATCTAACTAACGACCTGCTTTAAATGATGACATTGTTTCCTTTAGACGGTTTTACATGTTTCTGTGGAGAATCGCCTTATTTGCACCTAATGAACAATATGTGAGACGTGTTTTAAAAGTAAGTTGGGTTTACAGCAGTGAAATAAATGGTGTTAAATTCATTGGAAACGAGAAGAAAGCGTCAAGACAGAAATTTGTTGCGACTGCCAACAGGCAGTCGAGGTCTGTGAGCTTAACGTCCTAGGGGAAATCTGCGTTGGGCCCCGGCTTTTACGGGCATCGTTTACGGCGTTGTACGCAAACCTACGCCAAATAAACATAAACATGATAGACCGTAACGCACGTCAGAACCAAAAAAACACAAACTTCTAAAACACACATCAACACACACATATGGCACGCCAACTCACACATGAAACACCATAACGTACAGAAAACGGACACATAACAATCACAATTACTCAGACATAAAAAAGCGCACATACATACATAGTGCACGCATAAAAAAAACTTGTTTGACGCAGCTTTCCAGTGCACGTCACTCGTGACGTCAAACACTGAACCCTGCAACCTCATCATCGCATGCACGAGGCACGTGCCACAGAAATATCTGGAGTGTAATATCAATATTTAATGCAGTAAGCTTCGTTTTTTGGCGATATTTCTATTACATTTACATATTAGTAGCAGTGCTATCGTGTTCTATGCATAAAACATAAAATGTTAGTTAATGACAACAAGGGAATTCAAATGACAACACAACATTAAGAGTTAAAATTAAATAGTCTCCAAGTTAAATTAATACACAAAACAGTCCTTCAAATTCACGCAATAGATACAAGTATTAATAAATAAAGCTTGCTGACGTCACGGAGACCGATCCATTCTATCGAAGTGGGCCGAACCAATCACAAAAAGGTAGCTCAGAGCGCAGTGACGGCGGCAGACGCGAGTAAATATAACTACGGCTGTGCCAACTTATCTTCCGTATTCGCAATGCCTACTGCCTAGCAACATGACAGAACAACTGGTAATGGCACTGATAATAACTTAGCATTATAAAACGTAATACAGAGAGAGACGGATGAAACAAACGTTACTTGTTTATCGGTAAGTACAGATAAACAAGAAAAAACTCAACATAACCTTATATAATATCAGAAATTCGTGTATACTTATATCCATCGAACAACAAAACGCATGCTATTTTCACTAGAAATAAACAATAGCAACTAAAGCAAGTAAAGTGAAGTAGTTACAAATAATAAGTGCGGTACTATAGGAAAAGCGAATCCAGTGTACTAAGTCTTAAAATCTTCGCGTCGCGATTTTTCGTAGCAGGCCATCAACTGCATCGTACACTCTGCGACCTGGCATCCATGCTGACCGAACAGTCGTATATTCGGCGGCTGTACAAAGGTGGCTGCACAAAACCATGCTGGCTCTTGCAGCGCCTGCAAATCTCTTCACCAGTAATCAGAGGCACGCTACAGAAAGCCAATGATGATTGAACGGAGTCATTTTTCAGCCCTCTGAGCCAAAAACATTCCAGTTGCTCAGCTTAGTTTATGTCCAGCACTTAAAATAGTGCGGATTGAATCATGAGAGCACTCGCATTTAGGCATGCAGATGCATCATTCTGTCTGAATTTTCGAATCTTAACAAACTTTCTCCATCGTTTACTCATCTATCAAATGGAGCATACAGCTCCTTGGATAAAAGGAAGAAAATACCAATCAACATAACGCTTATGTAGAACAGCGCACTCTTGTGACATATTCGTGTTATTTTATGTGCGTTTTTTAACAATTGTATGAACATAAACTATACAGCTAATACCTGAAGCTGATCAGCCCCAAGCCCATCACATTTGTCGGGCTGGTAGCACAAGAGCTGAGCCCTCAAGTGACTTGAGGTTTAAAACAAAAAGAAACAGCAAGGGCGAGTCTGACGGGAGCGGAAAGCCCCAACTATAATAAGGGGGACGCGGGCGAGCTTGGCAGCTTCACGGCCGGCATCGATCGACGGGCTGAGAACGACTGCGAGGGGTGACCCCTATATTCCGGCGCAGAGGGGCGGACGCAGTCCAGACTAACTGGATAGCGACGGGTGGAGTAAAGAGTGAACGCTGGCTGGCAACAACGGTGACGAACGTCAAGTGGTATGGGCAACTGAAGTAGAGACAAAATGGGTAATGTTTAGAGAATTGAAGAGTGAACGTTGGCTCGCAACAACGGTGACGAACGTCGAGTGGTATGGGCAACAGAAGTAGAGACAAAATGGGAAATGTTTAGAGAATTAAAGAATGAACGTTGGCTCGCAACAACGGTGACGAACGTCGAGTGGTATGGGCAACTGAAACAAAATGGGTAACAAAAACAAATGGGGTAACAAAATGGGTAATGTCTAGTGAATACAGAATGAACGCTGGTTAGCAACTGTGGCGTGCTATGAGCAATTGAAGTTGAGACAAACTGGGTAATGACGGGTGAATAAAGATTGAACACTTCCTCGCAACAACGTTAACAGACAATGAGTGTTAATGGAGAGATGGAGTAAAGACAAACTGGGTTTCAGCGATCTCGGTTCGCTGAAACTCGGTTCTGCAACAAAGATTACGACAAAATTGTGAGGAGAGTTAAAGTCGCAAAAAACTGGGTTATAACGAAGGATGGCAGAAAGATTAGGTACGGATTACATGAAGTTGATGAAAAATTTCGGTGATTGTTAAATACTCGACTGGAAAACCCAGCGTGGTGAATACAACTGATTTCAAGAAATGCGACAGAGAAGTAAACATTATAATGTGAAGGCAACAAGGTCAATAATAAGATAGCATCAGATTCCTGTGAAGAAAAAAAAACAAGATAAAATGGTTTTTTTCACATATTCGTGCAAATCTCGTCTATGTCAATAGTCTTTTGCACCAAGAATTGGCTAGCATTCTCCCAGAGATCCAATTCTTCCATTTAAAGGAGACGCAGTGATAGGTTCTTCATTCTCGTTAATTAACAGCTGATTTCTCAATGCATGCATAGTAGCTGTTTTTCAAATACCATGCAGAATAATTGTACAAGGCAAATGACATTTATTTCCAAGGTAAAGGAGTTACTTCAAACTTTACCGAAAGCAAGCCCTCCTTACAAGGCAGAACACATAACTGG